GTATCTTCTGTATAATTCAGTGTTCATATAGAAGTATTTGTTTCGAAAGAATTTTTTCTTTCGTGTAATTCAATGTTTATATGAAAGTAGCTGTTTCAGGAGGACTTTCTTTCAGTTTGTGTCTGAAAGTTACTTCTTTGCTTGATCTACACATCCATGTATAGAGTTACTTATTTTAAGATTGATTAATTCCTTTCTTTCCTTGGAAGATTCCCTCATCATTGTTTTTTGTATCAAGATGGAGTAGTAGAAAGCCAAAAACAAATCAATAACTGCAATCGAATCAGTCCTTTGAGAAATTCCTCTTGTCCAAAAAATATTGATTGCGTTTGCTCAAAAAAGCATTGCAAAACTGATAGTATCTTTGGATGAACAGCAGAACGGAAGTGTACTCTTACAACACAAGTTATTTCAATAATAGTTATTTAGGCAAAAGATATAAAAGGTATTAATGGGAGTCAAAAAAAAAAAGTGAAATTTATGAAAGCAAAACATGTCAACACAATGAGACATGTCACTAAATTAAAATATCTTGATTCCTCACTGAGGCACAATAGTTAAATGAATGGTGAACATGAAAGGTCCTTCAGACTAGGAAAAAATTATTCGACGTTTTCAAACCATTCCTTGGCATGCAACCACAAGTTTCCGAATCTAAACGATATGGAAATTCTGCACTATGCAAGGAAGGGTTGCAAATCCAATTATTTAGAATCTTTGGAAATTTACAAGCATAAACATTGCGGGTGCAACCTGTTAAATGATCAAATCGATTCAGTTTACTCGCAGGTTTTTGAATTGGCACATCCACATTGTGAACTGTAAATTCAGATACTCAATCAAGTCAAGTACCTCTATTTCTATTAGTACCTATAGGGGTGGTATATAATGGCAAATGTAATGAATCATTGTTAGTTTATTGTATAAGTTTGAAAATGTCCGTATAGGACAAAAGTGCAGTAAGGTTAGTTACAAATTAAAGTGGTAAAAAAACATAGAAAGTTTCATTTCTTTTTTCAAAATGAATAATTTTTAATAAAACATCCAAATGTGTTTAACATATAATTTGCTGGTAGAATACCATGTGCTATAGTAAAACCAATAATGATTGAGAGTAAAGCGCGTTGTCATATCTAAATTTTACGTTACCAGTTTATAGCAGAATCAAAATATAGTAAGCAGTAGAGTTGTAGGTTGTGGCAAATTATACACAATACTAGTACGACTAAAAGGTATTATTTATGACAAAAATCAGTAATGACCTTGTAATGAGTAATACTTATACATTTCCTGATTACTGATCAGTTAAAATTCATTATTTTCTGTATAGTGTTAAATATTTATTACTAGTGGCAACTTTACCGTAACTTCCATCTCATCGGTGCAGTCCTTACTAATGTACTTGCAGCCATGAGCGTATCATTGGTTTGTAAATTATACAGCGTGAATTGTACGTTTTACAGTTAAGTTAGTCAGCAATCGACGTGTTGTGATAACAATTGGTGAAAATAATAGTGCTAATAAGTGTTTAAGCGTTACATAATTATATTTCTACACCGTTCTCAAACTACTCAAAAAATGGG